GGGGGTGCCAGTGGCGCAGGGCCGCTGGTGGTGGCGCTGCAGGTGCGCGTGGTGGAAGCCGAGCAGTTGTTCGCTGAGGTGACCGAAGTGGCGGCGCTGCGGCGCCAGTGGCTACGGGACGCGCTCGCTGTCTACCGCATGTTTGGCGAGGTGCACGCGTGCGAGCTGTGGATCGGCGAGAAGGAGCAATGGCTGCTTTCCATGCGTGTGCCCGATTCACTCGACGACGTTGAGGTGGTGCAGCACCGGTGAGCGCACACATGTGGGACTCCGGGGTCCCATTCCTCATGCACCCAGTCTCACCTTCATTGGTTCAACAGTTCCCATGTTCGCTCAGCTGGAATGAGGGGTTCCAATCCCTGCTTCACTCATAACCAGCTTTGTGACAGTTAGAAGGTTTGCAACCTGCCTAACCTTCCTGAACCTCAGCTTGCCCACCTGTATAATGGGGGTGGTATTAGTCCCTACCTAAGCTTGTGATGAAGGGTAAATGAGTTCATACATGCAGAACAGGACGCAAATGCCTGGGGGTAGAGGAAGCATTCCCCCAGCATTTGCTCTTATTACCCAGGCTTACATTCGCCAAGCATGAAATAAACGACCTATGCTTCTACAGGGACACCTCAGCCTGGCCCCTCCTCTGGGAGGCCTCCCAATGGTTCTGCATAAATGTCACCTCCCTAAGCTACTAAAATAGCTCTGACCCTTGACATTTTCCATTGCTTCATCCTGTTTTACATTTCTTTGTAGCACTTACCATCCCATGACATATTATATACTGACTTGTCTGTTGGCTGACTTAGCAATGAGTTGTTCAATTAGTGGGTGAACAATGTCTATTCCTCCTCTGCACCACTCTCTCTGAGCATCTTGTTCATCCATACATTCATTCAGCAGGTGTTAGTACTGAGTGCCTATGCCTTTCTAGGTCTTGTGCTGGGCACTGCTGGAAACACGGGGCTGCTCCTTGCCTCTACTGTGCCCACAGTTGCCCAGTTCTTTGAAACATTGATTTAAAGATGGGAGGACCATGTCCAGCTTAAAACAGACCTCAGTGGCTGTCATGTGGAGGGTGGGTTGGAGCAGTTGAGAGTTGTGGCTGGGAACCCAGAGAGGCAACTGGGGTGGGGACCCAGATGGAGCGGAACAGATTAGACCAGGGCTGGAAGTAAGTAGACAGACAGGCCATGGAGGCCGATGGGCCAGAGCAATTTTCTAAAACAAAGCCCAGGGCTCTGGCCTGGGGGATGACAGTGCTGTCCCCAACATGGGGGCGCAGAGGAAGAACAAATTTGAGTCAGATGGGTGTGAATAGCCCCAAGAAGGTATACAGCAGACTTTAGGTTGAAGATAGGTTCAAAAGGTAAGAGGTTGAGGCTGAAGACTGAGGTGTGACTGTCATGAGTTCAGGGGAGAAGACCAAGGCTGTGGGGTTGGGTGGAATCGTCGAAGAAGGGTGTGAGGGAAAACCCAGAGGGCTCAGGGTGGAGTTGCTGCTGCGGAAACTCCCATTTAAACATCGGGTAGAGGCTAGGCATGGTGGTTCACGCCTGTAATCCCAGCACTTTGGGAGGCCAAGACAGGCGGATCACATAAGGTCAGGAGTTCAAGACCAGCCTGACCAACATGGTGAAAACCCGTCTCTACTAAAAATAGAAAAGTTAGCTAGGTGTGGGGGCGCATGCCTGTAATCCCAGCTACTTGGGAGGCTGAGACATGAGAATCGCTTGAATCCGGGAGGCAGAGGTTGCAGTGAGCCGAGATTGTGCCACTGTACTCCAGCCCGGGTGACAGAGCAAGACTCCGTCTCCATACATACATACATACATACATACATACATACATACATTAAATTAAATTAACAGCAGGTAAAAGAGGAGGAGCCCACAAAGGAGGCTGAAAAGGAGGGTGGAGAATTAGGAGTTGAATCA